AGAAAGAGCTGAACGGCCAGAAAGGAGCTTTGCAAAGTTTTGACCAGTCAAAACAAGGCAGGCTGGCTGTGAAGCTCGATTCAGGGGAGCGTGTGTCAATCAAGCCCGAGAATCTGTGCAAGTTGGACCCCGAAAGCAATGGCAATTTTGTTGACGTTCGGCAAGAAGCTGATGATTCAGACATGCCGCCTTTGGAGTACGTAGGTGGCACTGCTGTCAATGGCGTCTCGAGCAAGTGCCAGTCGCCGGAGAGCAACACCGAGCAAAACGGTCGTCAAGAGGCTGATGACGAGGACGACATGCCTCCATTAGAGTACGTGGGAAATGGACCGGCTGCATCTAGCAGGTCTCCCGCATTGAAGCCTGACGAGGAGGATGACATGCCTCCACTGGAGTATGTGGGTGCAAGTGCCCCTCTTGAGGTACCTCTGCGCGAGGGGGACCGGGTTACGCTGAAAGGGCTGTCCAAGAAAGAGCTGAACGGCCAGAAAGGAACTTTGCAAAGTTTTGACCAGTCAAAACAAGGCAGGCTGGCTGTGAAGCTCGATTCAGGGGAGCGTGTGTCAATCAAGCCCGAGAATCTGTGCAAGTTGGACCCCGAAAGCAACGGCAATTTCGTTGATGTGCGGCAAGAAGCTGATGATTCAGACATGCCGCCTTTGGAGTATGTAGGTGGCACTGCTGTCAATGGCGTCTCGAGCAAGTGCCAGTCGCCGGAGAGCAACACCACGCAAAACGGTCGTCAAGAGGCTGATGACGAGGACGACATGCCTCCATTAGAGTACGTGGGAAATGGACCGGCTGCATCTAGCAGGTCTCCCGCATTGAAGCCTGACGAGGAGGATGACATGCCTCCACTGGAGTATGTGGGTGCAAGTGCCCCTCTTGAGGTACCTCTGCGCGAGGGGGACAGGGTTACGCTGAAAGGGCTGTCCAAGAAAGAGCTGAACGGCCAGAAAGGAGCTTTGCAAAGTTTTGACCAGTCAAAACAAGGCAGGCTGGCTGTGAAGCTCGATTCAGGGCAGCGTGTGTCAATCAAGCCCGAGAATCTGTGCAAGTTGGACCCCGAAAGCAATGGCAGTTGTGTTGACGTGCGGCAAGAAGCTGCTGATTCAGACATGCCGCCCTTGGAGTATGTAGGTTGTGCATCTCCGGCCAGAGGCTTGGCGATCCCCGCTGGACAGCGAGAGCAAGAAGATGTGGATGATATGCCGCCCTTGGAGTATGTTGAGCAGGATTTGTCGGCGGGATTGTCGCTTCTAGAAGGCGATAGGGTCCGACTCAAAGGGCTTTCCAAGGCTGGCTTGGATGGACAAACAGGAAAGCTCCAGAGCTTCGACCGAGCAACCAAAGGACGACTTCCCGTGAAGTTAGATTCTGGTCAAATGCTGGCAGTGAAACCTGGCAATTTGGAGAAGATGGCCTCAGACAATCGCGAGGGCCGGGTTGAAACTTGCAACAGTACTTCGAGGAAGGACGCTGGCGAGTCAACGTTTTCAAAAGGCCGGAAGACTGTCGCGAGCATCGGCAAGTCCGCAGACGGCAGCACGTCTCCCGACATGGTCGTGCAAGACGAGGACCTGCCTCCGCTGGAGCCCGCAGAGGGCTCTTCTTGCTGCTTGGAAGCGTAAACTTGTGATGTGCCGCAGGCATGCCGTGATTGCTGCGACTGCACCAAGGTTCCATGCAGAGAACGGGTGGGGCGGAGAGTCCGGAGAAGGGAAAGCAGCTCGGCTCCAGGCCGGGGGCCGGGGCCTGGCCGGCGTGGAAGAGCAAAGACCTCGACTCGACTAGAGCGGTACTGTCATCCGCTACGTCGGTTTCGGCAGGCAGGTCCGGAGTGCCGGTGCCATGCCTCCCTTGCAGACCCTTGGCCAGGCGGGAGTTGCTAACATACTGTCCCATTTTAGCTTTCTGTGTCTGTGCGCTATAGTGCCGTAGCTCAGAGAATGACATCCGGCTTGTGCAGAAGCTTCCTTAGTTGCAGCCCAACCCAGGTTGATGTGCTGGGACCCAAGTTTGTGTGACAGGTGTGCAGCTGTCTTAACATTGATAGAATAGAAGGCAGCAACATCGCCATGAAGTCCAAGAACCACCTGGGAGTTTACCAGAAGAGAATGCCGGGCACGGGTCTGGGGTCTTACTGCAGGCTGCTCGCTCATGTCCACTCTCAAGGCGATCCTGCAATTGCTGAGGCGTGAGTTGGATCAGAAGGAGGAGCTGCAGGTACGAAGCTTCTTTCCTGCCTCCTGGTGGACCGCGACATGTCACGATGGCACTGTCGATAGCCAGACAAGATGTCACGAAGAAGTCAAAGCTGCATCGTTGGGTTTTCGGAGGTGCTTCGACGAGAGGTTCAGGAATTGCGCTCGAGCCACATTCCGGCACTTTTTCAACAGCTTTTCTGGCGTGTTGAGAGACTGAAGTATCATGCAGACTATGCGGTGTTCGGAGCATGACAGGTACATGAAGGCAATGCAAGACGAGTTGACTGCCGTGCGCGGGGAGATGAAGAGGAACTCTGAGAAGACAGAGGCGCGAGACACTCGCACAGACGGTTTGGCGTGCCCAGTTTCATTTCGGCAGGTCCTGGCATTGAAAGCACAAGTCAGCGAGTTGCAGGAGCAGGTGAGACGGTCAGTCCGTGTTCTAGCCTTGAAGCCGCTGTAAATTCCGGCGAGCACTGATGGAATTTGACAGGGAACAGATGGTCTGGCGTAGTGACGGGTCAGAGACTGCACGTGACATGTTGGCTACGCAGAGGCGTGGTAACATAATTTAGTTTCGCCTCACAGCGGTTCAGATGCGGTCTGCGGTGTGGTCGGGCCGGGCTGTTCCCGGCCAAAAGAACCGTGGGAAGCTATTTAGTGAAGTGTGACATCGCTTGCTGACAGCCGGCGTATGCCCAACATCAGCTACATGTATAGAAGAGGATGTTGCTGAATGAATTCCATCCATCTCTGTTTGCTATGTTTGCTAGCGTCACACTTTCGCTTCTTTGTCATATTTGCGACAGGATCTCCAATAGACAGCGCCTCGACAATAGCTGACCAAATCCGATATCACTTTCCCTGCTCTTCTCTCATGAGCTCCAGTAACAGCATCCCCAGCTGTAGGTGAGGATCATGAAGGAGAGCTTGGACACAAAAGGCATCAAGAAGCTGCCATAGACGGCGGACGTCAGAAGCTCGACGTCGCGAAAGCTGAGTGGACGTAGTGTCGTGGTGTGCAGCTACCCCACCGAAAGCCGCATGAAGCAAACGGGCAGAGTTCAAACTCAGACATGAGGTGGACTAGCAGATAGGCAAGAGATATCTGTCCCCGTGGTAGCTGCAATTGTAGATTGCGATTCTCATGTGAAGGTTGCGAAGCAAAAGGGGCGCAATGCTACGCTCACACATGATTCGTGTTTGACCAGGTTGCACTGAAGCAGAAAATGTGTGATCGCACGGGGCTCATTCTAAAGCCATCCCGCATGATAAGAGCCAGAAAATGCAGAACGACTGACTCTCGACTTCGTTCCGTTACCTCGTAGTCTTCGTGCCAAAAGTAGTGCAGAGCACACTTTAGTGTGCCTTCAAGTCCTTTCCAAGCCTGCGCACCGCTGTTTCATTGCTGTTTTGGTGGCCATGGCATTGCTATGACCCTCTTATCTTTGTCCCGTTGTTCCTCTTCTCCTCCTGCCCGCGCTCGCCCTTCTCGCTCTGTGTCCGTCTGTCCCGCTGTCCCTCTGTCCCATCTCCTGTTCCATCTGTCCGAAAGTCAGCAGCCTGCTCCTCTGTCCCTACCGCCTGTCTTCCTGTCTCCGCTGTTCCGTTCCTGGTTTCTTCGTTCTCTGTGGTCCAGATGCTTTCGGTTGCTGGCTTCCGTCATTTCTGTAATTACTGTGTCGCTCTCGTACTCATCCGTCTGCTTCTGATCTTGCTTGCCTCCGTATATCGCATGAAAAAAATGCGGTATACCATTATCATGACCTGCTTTTCCGTCCCTGCCCTTGCAAACGATGACAGTTACCGCGCGATTGTCTCACGAATTGTCGTAACCTGTGCACTCACCCGCACCAGCACCAGCACCAGCACTAGCACTAGCACTACAACTAGTACGACGATAGTAGCAGTAGCAGTAGCAGTAGCAGTAGCAGTAGCAGTAGCAGTAGCAGTAGCAGTAGCAGTAGTAGTAATAGTAGTAGTAGTAGTAGTAGTAGTAGTCGTAGCAGCAGCAGCAGGAGTAGTAGTTGAAGTAGTAGTAGTAATAGTAGTAGTAGTAGTAGTAGTAGTAGTAGGAGTAGTAGGAGTAGAAGGAGTAGAAGAGTAGTAGGAGTAGTAGGAGTAGTAGGAGTAGTAGGAGTAGTAGGAGTAGTAGTAGCAGCAGCAGCAGCAGCAGCAGGAGTAGTAGTAGTAGTAGTAGTAGTAGTAGCAGCAGCAGCAGCAATGGTAGCAGTAGGAGTCGAAGTAGCAGTAGTAGTAGTACTCGTCGTAGTAG